CTTCTTTTATTGCACAAAAAAACAAGCTCTCGGGATTTTGATTATGGACTTGTTTGAAATGAAGTGACACACTATGAGTTTCTAAACCATTTTTTATATTTCTAATATGTTCTGCAATCCTAACCTTTAATGGCTGAATCGTCCTGCCTACATACAGTAAATTGCATGGGGATTTTAAAATGTATATAATTCCTTTTGAATGGCAGGCTAATTGATCATTTATAATGTACGTTTTTTTTAATTATATTTTCTATATCCTTTAGATGTTTCTTTTTACTTTTTGTTATTTTACAAGGGAGGCATGTGCCACATCCATAAAATCCTTTTAATTCTTGAATAAAGTGCTTAGTTTTTTTAGGGGTTAGATGACTTTTCACTAAAATATTTTTAAAATTCTTAGCTCCTCTATATTTTATTTTTGGTTTTGATGGTAAGATCTTATTAAAAACAGGGTCGTCCTTTAGCAAATGCCAATGTTTTTTAATGGTTTTTTGTATTCGTTAAAATTGCAGATGAAGGGGATTTCATTCATTTGGGTTGTTATTGCTTTTTGCTTATATTTTATAAGATCTTTTTTCCTATTTCCCCTACTTCTTTCTCTAAGATTGTTTTATCATACCCTTTTTCAATAAATAGTTTTTAATATAATTGGCCTGTTTGAGGTAGTCAGAATCTAATTTGCAATTTTGCCGGATTCTTAAAAATTGACTTCTAGGGGCGTTGTCAAGGTTATGATGACAACTTGTTTTTTCGATATAGCTGTTTGCAGATGTCATCTATGAAACGGCAATAGGACACCAAGCTCCTCCCCCATCGGTCGCCCTGTAGCACAAATGTTTCTTCCCAGAACGCCATAAAAAGGTTGGCGTACCTAGGGGTGAACTTGGTGCCCATTGCCGTGCCACAGACCTGATGATAAAATTAATTTTCAAACCAAAAATAGTTGTTGGTTAAAATGAGTAAAATCCCTTCTAAAATAAAATTAACTTGTTCCGTCTTAAAATCAGATTTTTCTAAAAAAATGTTTGACTGCTGATATTCCTTTGTCATGTGGAATGATGCTATACAATGAGGTCACATTACAAGTAACCATCCGATATCCATCCACCCATTTTGTTTCTTCTAAAATCTGTAGAATATGGATAGTGTCCTTAAGATAAGAGGGATTTTTAATGACTATCGGCTGGAGTAGGGTGTTGATTTAAGAATCCGGCGAAATTGCAAATTACATTCTGACTACCTCAAACAGGCCAATTATATTAAAAAACTATTTATTGAAAAAGGGTATGATAAAACAATCTAAGAGAAAGAAGTAGAGGAAATAGGAAAATTACAAAGAAAAGATCTTATAAAATATAAGCAAAAAACAATAACAACCCAAACAATTGAAATACCCTTCATCTGCAATTTTAACGGACACAACGGACGAATACAAAAAAACCATTAAAAAACATTGGCATTTGCTAAAGGACGACCCTGTTTTTAATAAGATCTTACCATCAAAACCAAAAATAAAATATAGAGGAGCTAAGAATTTAAAAACATATTTTAGTGAAAAGTCATCTAACCCCTAAAAAAACAAAGCACTTTATTCAAGAATTAAAAGGATTTTATGGATGTGGCACATGCCTCCCTTGTAAAATAACAAAAAGTATAAAGAGACATCTAAAGGATATAGAAAATATAATTAAAAAACCGTACATGATAAATTATCATTTAACCTGCCATTCAAAAGGAATTATATACATTTTAAAATGCCCATGCAATTTACTGTATGTAGGCAGGACGATTCGGCCATTAAAGGTTAGGATTGCAGAACATATTAGAAATATAAAAAATGGTTTAGAAACTCATAGTGTGTCACTACATTTCAAACAAGTCCATAATTAAAATCCCGAGAGCTTGTTTTTTGTGCAATAAAAGAAGTTAAAAGAAATTGGAGAGGGGGAAATTATATTAAAATATTAGGAAAGGAAGAAATTTGTTTTATTTTTTTATTTTAAGACTCTCATCCCTTACAGTCTTAACTCTGACTTTGAAGTTTGTCATTTTTAATATATTTTTTAAAATCCTTTTTTTATATTTTTACATTAATTCTTTAAATATATTTTTTATAAACTAACTTGACTGCATTCCCCCTAAACAATTATATTTAAATTAATTGACTATCCCTATTTTGGAATACTTATTTTTAGAAGACCTTATCAGGTTCCTCCCTATACTGTGTTCTAATAGTTCAGAATTTTCCAATGGTATTATATTGCTATTTTATTATAATGGTATTTTATTATAAGGTAGGCTATATTATTTATTCGTCACATACAAATTAAATTTTTCTTTTTATCAATACTGTCCATCCAATATTTTTTAAGAAGCAAGTAAATAATTTTAGATTACCATATATGACATAATAATATTTATTCAATCTATTTTATTTTTTTGTATTATATAATGTCTTCTTTTATTCAGTATATATATATATGTGAAATTATTACTGCCCCATCACTATAATGCCCACTATTTAATACATAACACTCTCTACTGTTAAACATTCTAGAAATATATTGGTATGTTATATTTATGTATACATTCCGTTTTATGCTTTTTATGTATGAATATTGTGAACTTTCTGGATGGCATATGCCTTGAAGAACCGCATTCACAATAAACTGATGCTGTGAAATGCATGCATGAGGTTCACATGCCTTGAAAGACCGTATTCGTAATGAACTGATACTGTGAAACGCATGTATGCGTTCCAACATACGTCACGTGATGAGTGCGTTCCACGGATGGAACGCAAAAATCCGGAAGCGGAAATAGAAACTCCATTGAATGCCGGCCGAGGACGGAAGGACAGCGAAAAGACCACCAAAGTAGAGCTATTTAAAAAGGATCAACAAACAAAACTTACCAGCAACTGAGGAAGCCTCTTAACGGGACGAAACACGTTTTGCACTTCAAAAGACTTTACATAAGGACTTACCTTCAAAATTGTAAGGTTTTTTTATCTATTCATTTTATTTATTTACATTTCTTGTGCACTTTTTAATAAAGCACTTTGTATCTACACTGCAAACTGTGAGGATATTTTACTGTTTGAGAACCCCTGCCAGTCTAAAGAAGGGAGTGGGTCCCTCTAGCACCCACCGAACTGAAGACCTGAGCCTAAATAGTGGCTCTCTGTTTGTGAGGGCTTTTTTTTATCTACCATTGCACTTTACCATTTAATATTGGCTATATTGCACGATTTTTTCTACCTATGTTTTAACCTTAGGAAGAACGATTCAAGAACATTCCTACTCCATAAGACAGATACTCCACCTTATATTGTATGTACGTTTACTTCTACAAATGAATGGAGATGGAACTCTTAATTTTATACTGACAACCTTTTTTTCCTCTGATACATCCACTTCTGACAGTTTTGGATTTTTGGCATTAGTGAAATTATCTATTTGCAGGAAGTCACTCAGTACCATCGATCATTACTGTCAACTATTCAACCCAGTCAGAAAACACAACTGTCCTCTGGTGATGCTATTAATGATGTCATTGTATCCTATCTAAGTGCAGGTGGGGGGCGGGGGAGGGAGGTAAAGGGAATTTAATGTCAGTGTCAGATTGGTGACATTACTGAATTAGTGTTCATCTGGCAGTTATTTCCTATATTCCTTTTTTAACTAGGCTTCAAAGGCTGGTGAAACATAATAAGGAGCCAAGTCATTTAAAGCACAAATTGACATGGATAACATATGCATTAAACACTTGCTATAGGTATTTTAAAGATAAGCTATAGCTTAAAGCTTGTTCAGGGAGGGCCTGCACGTGTCTTTTACAGAATGTGTAATGTCCCCAGCTGCAGGTCCATTATGTCTGCCCGTTGTACAATACTGAGGAATAATGTATGTTGATGCTTCATAAACTAGTAAAAAAATCTCAGGAAGACATTAAACATTACTGTATTAATATATTTCTGTTCTTCAATGTGTGACATTGAGTTAGGGTAAATTAGGGTTGTGCAACACTGCCATCTAGTGTATGAGCAATGTAATTTAATAAGCATAGAACTGACATGGATAACATGACATTTATGGAGAAGGTGACTTGCAGAGGCGGCTCTCTAATTAGGCGATTTAGGCGGCCGCCTAAGGCCTCGCGCTGTGTGGGGCCTCGCGGCCGCCTAAATCGCCTGAGGGCAGACTGACATGTCGGGTCCCGACACAGGAGGGGGCCCGGCGGCTTGCCCTTTGTGCCGCCGGGTGCGAGGCCCCTCCTGTCAGTCCGCCCGGGGAGAGAGCCGGCCTCAGTCTGCAGCTCCGCCGGGTGTGAGCTGCAGACTGAGGTATCTCGCGCTC